CCCCTGCAAGACGAAAAACCTGGCAAAGCTCCTGGAAACGGAGGGTGGCGCACACACACAGACGCACACATACGTAAACCAATCAGGAGAGCACAAAGCAAAGGGAGTTAAGCTTGACAGTTGACAGGGGAGGCGGAAGCAGGAATGACCCCGAACCATCTTATCAGGAAGGCTTCGAGTTTGACACGCAAACGGAAAAGACGGGAAGCACACCGGATGAGCCGCCAGAAGCTTTGAACTTGTGAAACACAATCCATATCGCCCCACAGGGTAACTGACAGAAACACAACAGTGGCTTCAGTGCTTCAGAATCTTCAGTTCATAACGTGACGCATCAGTGCACCGGTCCCACATCCTATGGCCAAGCGTAGAACGAGGTGAAACGATTGTTGCGGGCCAACAACATTGTTCATGAACAGAAGAAACACTGTTAAATCATTGACCTCTCATGATCTCCCTTAGTTTGGGAATGCTGCAGAAAATTCTTCTCACTAGAAGGTTTCGACCTTCACAGTCCAATCTTTGCAAGCTAAGAAGAAACGAGGAATGAAAAGAGCAGGTGGCGCAGAGGACCCCAGCCACTGCTGGTGCAATGACAGGCTTGCAGCCCCCTTCCTGCCTTGAATGTATGGAGGAGCACACACAATGCAAACACGTGGCTTACTGAACACCAAAATCACCCTTGCATGCACAAGGAGCACACCGTTGCAGAGTTTATTGAGTTCTGCGTGAATGGCCGCAACGACAAGTCTGGCACGTGGACCTCCAAGGGCGTTGGAAAGTACTTGGAGGGTGGCAAGGAAGCTGGTGGACAGTTGGTGGATCAGCGCTTTTGCCCGCGCATTGTGGAAGGTGAGTTGCGCTACAACCTCGTTGGTGATTCCCTGATCGGAGTCATCCACAAGAAACCCAAGGAGGGAGGAATCTCGGCTGTGGGTGGAACCGGCTCCATCTACACCTTTTATGGACCTGATGAGCCACTTTTCAAAAGCTTGACCGAGAATTTCTTGCAAAAGGCCGGGCATATTTTTAGAGAGAAACTATATAGCGCCATCGAGCACACAGTAAGTAGCAAGTGTCACCTCATTTCCACAAACAAATGCTTTGTTAGTGGCTTGTGGCGTTCAGGACCTGCCCCACGTCATGCCCTCGCTTGACTTGGCCGAAGAACCTTTGCCACTTTGGTGGACTACTGACTTCATCAACGCCTCACCACCAGGCCCACGCGGGAAACATCGCGGTTGAAGGGTGCCAGTTGTTTTAGAAAGATTGCATGGAGCATGAGGTTCATTTGGGGGACGGGCCTTGCTTCGAGCGCTTGCAAGAGTGAGTTGCAGCAGTCGTGTTTGTTTCAACAAGGCATCAACCTCAAGTATCCTGAACTCCTTGTGTGCCAGGAACCAAGGCTGAGGATGAGAAATGGATCGTCGGCGAGTTCAATTGCTCCTGCGTTTCGTGGACTTATGAGGGGGGTTAAGGGGAGGAGGCTCACTGGGAAACCTTTCAACAGGCTTTCTCATAGTCCTGAAACTCTCCAACTAACTAGGGACCCCACCACCAGTGCTACCACCTGAGGTTGGCATTTCGCGCTGCTTGGCCGCCTACTGCAAGGATGACACCCCCAACGCCAACTGGGATGATATCTCTGCGGAGGACAAGGCTGAGGCCAAGAGAATGGGCGATCTTATGGGCGAGAAAGCTTTGAAGATCCTCTCCAAGTGAGCATGACAGCCAGTTAGCGGGCCACTGTTTCATTTTGGCACTTGTGTTTCCAGAGGCAAGTTGTGAAATAGACAGAACCACTGGAGAGAAACAATATGTATTTGTACATATAGAGTCTAGAGGTATGACAGATGCCGGTTCAAAAAGTGTCTAGAAGTCAAAAGAGTCCAACGATGCTCCACGGTCACATCTACCATTTTCACTGCTATGCTGCTTCAGCCCTTTTGTGGCGCAGCAAGTAAACCGTTTCTGGGAACACTCAGGGTGCAAATCCTTTGGAATTCCATGGCCGAATTTTCCCTTTGGCACTGAAGGTGAGGGACTCCGGTTGCTCAATTGGAATAAACATATCCAATGTGAGTAGCGCA